TTATAAAAATGGTCTCAATGTACTGTTACATGGAGGGAGAAAAGCAGCTGCCCAAATGGTGTATGTAGTGTGAGCCAAATTTTATAAAACAAATTTTATGTGTAAAGACTGAAAAGCCATGAGGCAAAATGTTACAATGTTTATCTCTGAGTTATTGATGTTTTTATAAAAACAGGCTTATTGGTATTTTTATTTTCCTTTTGTTTATCTATCTCTTCTAAAATCTCCATAATAAATATTATTTTTGTCATAGAAACAGTCACTTAGAAACTCTGTCAGGCCTAGTTTTCTACAACCATTGAATCCAGAACTTAAAAAGCAAAGCACGTAAGAAATTAGTCAGGGCATTGCAGGTATTTAAATAAACACAAAGTCAGCCAAGGCCTTTTTCTGGGTCACTAACTGTCTGCCCAGCAAAGTCATTATCATAATGTCTGCAGGTGGTCAGGGCTAGGGAGTACTTTGCAAACAGTGGAAATTTTTTCTGGGGAGATATCATAAGAGAGAGAGAGGCACCTCAGGAATCTGAGCGTTAAACTTAGTTCATGCTTGGGGGGGCCAAGGCCAGCCAGCCGGAAAAGCACCTCACCCTAGCAGGACCTTGCAACTGGAGGAGTCATGCGCTCGGTGGTGCTCAGCCAAGGTCTGGAGCGGAGGAGGGGGTTAACCCATCTGAGGAAGGAGAGGCAGCACACAGCAGTGGATGAGCAGTGGAGGATGGAGAAACAGCAGTGACCAGGCAGGTTCTGATCAGCTGACAACCAGCGTTTAGCAAGACCTGGCAAAGGGCAGGGGCCAACACGCCCCGTGGGAGCACCGCAGTCTCGTCACTCAGAACCTGGCCTTAGGCCTGCCCAGAGTGTAGGACATGCCCAGCAGCATAAGCATCACTGGAGATGGCTGGAAACAAGGATCTCTGGCTCCTGCAGCCTACTGAATGGGAATCGCATTTACATGGGCTCCCCCACAGCAGTGTGAGTGTGGACCCGGGAGAAGGATCTCCTATACGTGCTCCTGGATGCATTACATCCATCTTCAGACTCATAAAAACATCATTAAATTATATATATAGAGAGATAGAGATACAGATACAGATACAGATATATAGATATAGATATAAATAAGTAAGTAAGTAACAAATGTAAAAATGGCCAGATTCCAAGGGGCCTATATACTTTCCTGGAGAAAGGGAAACTGTTTTTTGAAACTTCATCTGATTTGGGAGGGCAGCTTCTAAAATGTTCAGTAAGTGAATGAATGAACATTAGCAGCCTGTACCTTAGATGGTGAGATTATCTGATGAGGGCCTATCAGACCAAAAAGTCCTGTAAGAGACTAACACATCCTCATCTGTGTGTACAGACAAGCAAGCCTTACATCAACCATGCGTGGACAGAGAGCTGAGGGGAAGGATTTTACTGGTCACTGCTGAACCACCAGAGGCCTTCCAGCTCCCTCGCGCACCCTTCCTCTCGCAGCAGCCTGTCCCCCGTTCCTGGGGCCCCCTCAACCCACTGGCTTTTCTGACCTGCTGCCTGTCTTCCTTCCAGGAGTGTCAGCTGTACCACTAACAGACCAGGACACTCTCAGACTTTCCCTGAGACACCTGTCTGTGAGCCCGGGCATCTGGCCATGGGCCAGGCACCTGGCCAAGGAAATCTCCATGAACCAAAGTCAATAACTGGCCCAGAAAGCAGACAACATGATGGCCCATGGATTTCTGAAATGAACGGTGAAAGCTCTGTAACCTCATGCAAAGGGAAAGGCCTGCAAGGGAATGTGCTTTTGGCTCTGAATGTAAGAAAACGCAGGTTCACATTTTAACTCTTCCCCTCCCTCCCTCCATGTGGGCCCTTGGGCAAAGGACTCCAGGACGCTGGGCCTCAGCTTTCCCACCTGTGGAATGGGAATAATAATGAAAATTGTTGTGAGAAAAAATGCATCAGCTTTCTGTGCACGCTCCGTAAGATAGCTCTCTCCCACTACTTTCTCTTTCCAGAGCTTAGAGATACGTAACTTAAGGAGTCACAGGGAAGCCAATAAATGACTAAAGGGTTAAAAAATAAGATCTAAGACAAACAGGAAGAAATGGTCGTTTAGTCTGGGAAAAAGAACATTAGTCTGGAAAGGAGAATGTTCAGTCTGGCTAGAGGGCAGTCAATAACTGTGGCTACAATTCGTAAGCACCTATCACCTTGCTTGGCATTTTATTAGTTATGTCCTGTTCTCAAAACAACCCTCTGAGGAAATTATGCTTAGGATTCCCACCTTTAAATGAGAAAACTTAGATTTATAGCTTGCCCATGATCATACAGCTACGTGGAGAAGTAGAGATTCAAACTCAGGCCTGCTTATGCCCCATCTTAACAACAGACTCCCATCCAGGGCGCTGCAGATGAGAAAGGGGGACAGGAGCCTAAAGAGAAGCCAGAGGCAGACAAGGACGATGGTGGTCAGCCACTGGACAAGCAGAGGCCAGAGACACCACTGCAGAGTCTTTCCTTGGCTAAGACTTGTCAGGAGGTGTTCTGGTTCCCTAGTGCCGCTCTGACAGGAATATACCACAAACGGGATGGCCTTAACAAACAGGAGTTTCTTCTTACAATTTGGAGCCTTTAAGTCCAAGTTCATGTGCCAGGCTCTAGGGGCTAGGTGAAAGCCCCTCAACCTTGGGGTCCAGCTCTGCCTCCTGCTCCTGGCCCACTGAAGCTAGAGACGTTTCTTCATTCAGACAGCTGCTGGCTGCTGAGGCTGAGAAGCCCCAAGGTTGACAAGGAAAAAGGCACAGTCCCGACGTTACCAAACCACACGGCAGGCCATTAACTTAAGTCCCAAGGTTGGCAGAGCATGGCAGGCTGCTGAGCAATGACATGGCTACATGCAGGGTCCAAGTGTGCCATAGGCTAGAGACCTTTCTCAAAGCTTCTCCTTATATACAGGAAGCAGACCACATACCCAAAGGCAGCTCACAGTAGATACCACCATGGAATTGATTACCAGTCTCATCATGGGGACTACTACATCCAGCTGCCCAGCCACTCAACCAGGCCTAGCTAAGTTGACATACAAAAGTAACCACCACAGAAGGAGAATCTCCAGGCCCTCCCTGCCTGTGTGTGGGCTTGTCTGAAGGCAGGAGGGACTCTACTTTCCTGGGGGGAATAAGCCTGAGAGCACCAGGCCGAGGACTAGACTCATGAGGCCACACAGATAGGGCCTGCGCACGCCTGCCTCTCCTCGTCAAAGGGGGCCCAACTACTGGGGCACATTTAGGTCTATCCCTCTACTTTTTTCTACACTTTCTATTGTTATTTCAGAGATTTTCTTATTCCCAAAAAAGAGTTCATACAAAAGGAAATAAAAATATGAAATGTGCAAACAAAATATTTTTAGCCCTAATTTCTGAACCTCTAAGTTTTCTTACCTACAGAACAAGTTTGAGGACACCCATAATTCTGGGCAAATGCCTTGTGGTTTTCAGCCTCTTCAAACCATCTCACGTCTCATGATCATGCAGCCTCAGTGAAAAAGACCAGGTCTGCTGGTCTGATAGAGCCGGGTGAGACCCTCAAGACCATGGCCCCTAGTTATTCTTCAGGTCTGGAATTGAACTCACTCCTGTAGCTTCCAGCCAAACAATAGACAGGCATACGGGGTGAACATTTACATCAGGTAGATACATTCCTTAGAGCTATCAGATCAATCTTGGGAGAACAGGGACAATCTTGTTTGCACAGGGAGATAGCTCCGGGCAGGAATGCATTGGAAAGAAGGACACAGGGAAGAGGTAACTGCAGGGAGGAATTGGGAAGAGAGCTGTTACACTGTGGGAAATTGCAGCCAATGTCATGAAACAAAATGTGTATGAACTGCTACATGGAAAATGAATTTGCTCTGTAAACTTTCATCCAAATCACAATTAAAAAAAGAAGAAAAGAAAGAAACCATGGAGCCTCAGCCCTGGTCTAGGAAGGTACCAAAAGCAGGAAGGGATTTACCAGCTCCCGGTCTGCTGCTACTCTGAGCAGAGGCCAAGGCTTCAGGCTTCTAACCGAGACTGATAACTCACACTGCCGAGGAGCGGTAACTGGAGCTTCATGTCAGGCCATTTTCTTCCTGGAGCTGAGTGTTCTTTCCCATCTCGATACTGAGGCCCCAACTAGAGTAGCTCCCTTACCCCCCCTTCCCCCCCCCCTTTTGTGGAGTCATAGGAGAGGGTCAGCTCTGTAGAATTAGATCCTGTGTTGTGACTCTCACAGACAGAGACCTACCACTCTTTTTTTTTTTTTTTGTGATTTGGGTGAAGATTTACAGAGCAAATTCACTCTCCATACAGCAGTTCACATATACTTTGTCTCATGACATTGACCACAGTTTACCATAATGCAACAGCTCCCCTCCCACCTCCTCCCCACAGTTACCTCTTCCCAGTGTCCATCCCTCCATGGGCTCCTGCCCCCTGAGCTGTCTCCCTGTGCATAAGCAGCCTTTCTTTCTCCCATGATTGTTCTCTCCAAGGAGTGTATCTACCTGAGGTAAATGTTCAACTCATATGCCTGTCCCCAGTTTGGCTGGAAACCACAGGTGTGGGTTCAATTCCAGACCCGAAGGGCAACTAGAGGCCATAGTCTCAGTGGTTCCACCTGGCTCTATCGGACCAGCAAATCTGGTCCCTCCCTTTAGAGACCTACCACTCTTGCAGGTCGTAATTTTTTAAGCAATAAACTTATTCTTGGAAGAACAAAAACTATAAACTGCATCTGGATTTAACTCTGACTGAGAGAACTTTCTGTTTAGTCTCTTATTCTGACAGTCTATACCTGATTCTGAGTTACTGGATTTAAATTAACTTCGAGCACTGATAGACCTTCTAAGTGAACTTTAAGCAGAACCAACCAGCCCCACCCCCCTCTCCCCTGAACATAATGTGAGAAAACACAAAGCCACACGGAGAAAGGAAGGGCCAGGGTTTGATACTATCCCGTGAACGTCTCTCAGCATCAGAATGCTGCCACTTCCCGCAGTTCCAGCCCTCGGCGGCTGTCCACTCGGAGTAAATGAATTCCTCTGCTGAAACTTGCACACAATAAGGAGACGGTGTCGCCAACAGCCAGGGAAGTCAAAGGCCCTGCTCCATCCAGAGACAGAGTGAAAAGGCAGGCTACAGAAGAAGGGAAAGCAGCAGGTTAGACCAAAAGTGCAATACGAAGAAGTGAAGTGTCTTCCAGAGAAACTCAAGGAAATAAAACATGGGCTGCACGTATCTAACCCATGTAAGATGGGCACTGCACACTTCAGAGGACAGGACTCCAGATGGGAAGCCAGAACCTGGGCGACTCCTAAAGCTTCAACTGCAGGGAATGGCACATGCACCAAGGACATGAAGCACCTGGAAGGATGTTCAGACAACCAGGGCCTTCCCTGCTAAGGCTACCTGCCTAGCAAACAAAGGCGGCAGGGGTCGAGAAAAACAGATAAAGATACTCAACAGCTGCTGGTGTCCTGGGGGCCTTGCTAAGGATAATAGGGAAATGTGGGGTTCCATCTTTGAGGGCTTCCAGGCTCCCTCCACCTGCAGCTCAGAGGCTACTCTTTTAAGAACCACCGGTCACTGGTGGGCCTCACTTATGCCACTTGGTCAGGTCAGATCTTGTTTACCCTGGTCTCTGTTTACCATCATTAAATCTAAATGTCCGCTCAGCCCACCTCCTGCATCTGTGGCGCTGGGGGAACTGGAGAAGGCAAATCGACGTGAAGGTACAGCAGGGCCGGCCCAACTGTGGATGAATGCCTTGCACACAGCTGTTTGTGCACGTGCCTCCAGATGTGATCCCATGTGTTTTCCCTGCAGGGGCTACCCTATCTCCCCCTGCTGGGAGCTGAATTTCTGGAAAATTGGTGTGGAAAGGACATGGTCTGACGTTCTCTAACTACATGCTATTCCTGTCTCTGGCAGAACTCTGTGGCCAGGACAGAATAGCACGGACACGTTGGGGATGTTGATAAACTAGCTTTCTAGAAGGAAAACAAATTCATTCATGGCATTTGCCAATTTTCATAATGACCAGATTTCAAACTACCAACAATTAAAACACTAGCTTACAAAATTCCAGAATATTTAACACCTGGCTGACAGGACCCAGCTCCTGCATACCACTGCAGTGAGGACACTAGGGAGCTGGGTTCCACACGACATCTCTTTTCTCTGGTGCTTTGAAGTGCCACGACATTATTGCAGTCAAAACAGGAGAGTCCTGAGACTATCCTTACTCACCTCACCCCACCAAAGGCTGATGCTCACATTTTAGTTCTCGAAAGATGAATTCAAAAGTGGCAATTCTTGAACATCACAAGTTAAAGCTAGATGAGGGACCTCAGGATGGAAGAATTTTTGAGCTCTCAGGAATGAGTCTAAACAACACAGTACCAGGGGGTACTTAGTGATGATGGCTTCTAGTAAGAGGTTGAACAGAGAAGTCCTGGCATCTTGATATCATTGCTTACCCGCTAGGGAACTGGACAGTGGCAGGACGTGGGTGGCACTGTATATGCTAGCCAATAGAAGGAAGGTTTTAAGGAAGTCTTTAGGACTTCCAGTATTTTCTCAGAAGCACTGACTGCAGACTCCTTACCTCCAGTGTCTTGATTCCAAATCTTCACCTTGCAGTCATGTGATGCGGTAGCAATTATAGGCATCAAGGCCAATGCTTTTGGTAGAAACACACCAGATGCAACTGTCTGGAAATGTCCCATATATTCACATATTTTGTTGCGTGTCTGCCTTAGGTCCCACAACTGCAAAGAAATGGCATAGAACAGTTCACAAACACATATTCCTCTAGCTTCATACTGGAGCTCTGTAGTGTAGCACCTAAGGTGCTTGACTGCTAACCGGAAGGCTGGTGGTTCAAACCCACTAGCCACTCCTCAGAAGGAAGGTTGGGCAATCTACTTCCATAGTGATATCGCCTCGGAAACCCAAAGAGGGTCGCTATGAGTCGGGTCCGACTCAATGGCACATAACAACAACAACAACTAGCTTCATACACATTTCACTTTCATTAATACTCATTTCTCTACCTTCCCATGAGCTACCATTCCCTCTACTTACCTCTTCATCTAGCTGCTCCTTGTCTTCATCCATCCCATTCACGGACTCAACCACCCATCCACCCAGTGATTGCATTAAGTAACAATTATGTCCCTACAGCCATGGCTAAGGATGGAATGAAGATGGCTATTCTCATCATGGCCAAGGAAGCGCAAGCTCAGGTCCTTCAGCATGATGGGAAGTGGGGTGTCTGCTGAGTCTTGATACATGAAGACTAGTGTCTACAACAAGGAAGATGACAATCCCACAAGTCCCACTCTTGTTGATACAGATCAAACCACATCTGGAGAATAATGTTCAGGGATAAAAGCAAATTGAACTATGTCCAAGAAATAATAAAGTCACAGCAAACTATGTCATCCAAGGATCAGCTATAGGAACTAGAAACACTTAGCTTGGAGAAGAGAAGCTGCATCAGTAGCCTGGGGATTCAACTCCATGATCTATCACTTACTAGAGTGTGGTCTTGGGCAAGAAGTTTCAACTTGCCATGACTCTATTTCCTCATCCATAAAATGGGAATTACAATAGTACCTAACTCACAGGGTAGTTTTTTTTTTTTTTTTAATTAGGATTTGGGTGAAGATTTACAGAGTAAATTCACTTTTCATACAGCAGTTCACATATACTTTGTCTCATGTCATTGACCTCACAGGGTAGTTTTAAAGATTAAAAGAGATAATGTATGTAAAGGGCTTAGCCCAATGCCTGCCACACAATAAATGTTAAATGGGAGCTATAATCATTCTATTTGTATATGTCATCAATATTCTTTTTTTCTTTTTTAGTTTTTATTGTGATTTTGGTGAAAGTTTACAGAGCAAATTCATTTTCCATACAGCAGTTCATACACATTTAGTCTTATGACATTGACTGCAATTCCCCATGATATAACAGCTCTCTTCCTACTTCCTCCCTGTAGTAACCTCTTCACTGTGTCCTTCTTTCCTATTCATTCCTGCCCCTTCAGCTATCTCTCTGTGCAAATACTGCCCTTCTGTTTTCCCATGATTGATCATTTGTAACCAATACTCTACAATTAAGAATCCAAGGTACTTTGAAGGAGCCTAGGCAATCTGTCTCACAATTAAATGCCAGGGAAGGAATGGAGTAGACCCTGGACCAGAGCTGAAGCTCTAAAACTTCCTAAAGAGCTGGGACTTCCCTCACTGTGACCACATGTGTATGGAATACATTACAGTAGGAATACATTTGGTTCTTCAAATATCCCCTTCACTCTTCTCTTTCTAGGGTCTGCACGGAGTAGAGGCAGCAGCAAACCACTTTTATTTTAGCTACTTTTAGTTTAGCTACTCCCTAAGCACTGGTGGCATAAGTGCCTAAGGTATTTGACTGCTAACCAGAGGCTGGCAGTTCAAACTCACCAGCCACTCCTGGGAAGGAAGATTGGGCAATCTACTTCCGTAGAGATACTGCCTCAGAAAGCCAAGAAGGGGTTTCTATGAGTCAGGATCGACTCAACAGCAGTGAGTTTGGTTTCTTAGTTTTTATCTTGACTCTCATGGTATCTTTTCTACTACCAATTCAGAGGAGCCTAGGCCAAGAGATGTTCCTCTAAGAGAAGCATCTAGAACACAAAGGACAATTTACAATATGCATTTGGGGCAGGCCTGAGCCACTAGCAGAGACTGCCCAGCTACTGGCATGAGGCCAGATCACTCATTTGCTCAACAGCACCCAGACCCCTGAATCCCACACAACCGCTTACCGTAGCTTCACAACCTTCTCCTCCAAAGCCATTGCTGCAGGAGAGAAATGTGTATCCATCCTCACTGACTTCACAGTAGGTCTGAATGTGCTGTTTTGCAGGAAACAAGTGGGCCACATGCAGCCCCCGACTATCCCATAATCTGAAAGACATTACAGCAGGAAATGAGTCTGTAGTAAATGTGTCTGAGTAGACAGCCCACTAACATAAAAGCCTTGGCTCTTTCCTGCTTCAGCCAGTCGGAATGGAATGCCGTGATTACCTAAAAACAACAACATGAACCAGATCAACATAAGACCCCAAAGCTGGAAGGAAGTAGCCAAACTGAACGACATCTGAGTTCTTTCTATTTTGCGATCTAGGTAACAGGAATGTAGACCAAGCATCCTAAGTGTGCAAGCTACTTTGTTAATTTGGTTCTTTTGGGACACTGTTTTCAACAGACTTGGGGGAGGGGCAGATACTTATTAAGGTACAGAAGAACATTCATCCCTCCAGAACCAGATATAAAAGGTTTATAGGCCTTGGACAACTTTGGGGAGGGGGTCCACTGGAAAGGGTTTTCTTTAATTTCTGTCTCATTTTTGCCTCTGTCTCATTCCCACCACTTTCTAAGTTGAGTCTTCTGAGATCCACAGTTCCTAGTCCTGTTCTCTAGCCTATGCACTAGTTACTCCACTTGCCTCCCCTGATGCAGATTCTGAGCCTGCTCCCCCACAGACACAGAGGGCTTCATCTGAGGGATGAATGACTGATAACCAAACGAGCAGCAGCTGAGCAGGGTAGTGTGAAGGGGCCGGGGAAGCACATTACCAATCCATGTTACCAATTAATCTGAACACAGTCACACAGTGGGGGCTGGTGGAATTAGCTACTTTGATACTACCAAGAACAGGGCTCTCTCCTGACCTCCCAGCATCCAACTTCTTCCCAGCTGATTCGAGGGGCCAGGTCGGAAAGGCCCCAGCACCAGAGAAATGTAGAGGGCAGAAGATTCTGCGAGGGGCCCAGCAATACGGGGAAGCAGAGTGAGGGCAGAGCTTGTAAGCATGGGAACCATATACACTTCACCAGAAACACTGTCACTGTGGCCCAGTAAGCCTACCTGATGGTTTTATCTTCAGAGGTCTGTAGGATATATGGTTCTCTGGGGACCCAGCACAGGTGTGTGACCTGGAAGAAACAAACTTTCTCAAAAGGTCTCCATATCAAGTCATTCCTCTGAGGTAATTCCTATAAACGGTGCCAAATAGCATCTCAACTCCTCAAGGATGCTGAACTGGTAAATGCGACTTAGAGGGATTTTATGCTTTGCAGATACCCACAGTTATGCTCTGAGGTTCCCAACAGCAACAGTATCAGCTGGGTCAGCTGGGAACACCTTACAGTGCCTGAAACCCCAGCTCTCTGGTCGAGAACTGCTAGTCTGGTGGCAGTTCAGGAGGGAGCTGAGGAGAGAGAGAGCTGGTGCCCCAGGAGAGACCATGGAGCTGGAACGGTAAGGTCTTATCAGGTTCCAAAAACCAAACCTACTGCCACAGACTCTATTGTGAAGAGCTTATCTCTGCAGCCCCCTGCTGGGCAAGACATGAAACAGTTCTCAAAAAGGTGACAGATTCTCTTTGCTTACTGAAAAACCTAACCCACTGCCATCAAGTCACTTCTGACTCACAGTGACCCTACAGGACAGAATAGAACTGCCCCATAGGGTGTCCAAGACATTAAATCTTTACAGAAGCAGACTGCCTCATCTTTCTCCAGTGGAGCACCTGGTGGGTTCCAACTACTGATCTTTTGGTTAGAAGCCAAATGTTTTTAACCATTGCACCACCATAGTTCCTTTTTCTTTCCTTACAACCTCCACAGATATGGAGGACACAGGGCAAGCATATTTGGCCATTGTCAGTTGTCTTTAAAATCAGCAAAGATGAACAGAACTGAAGTTTGACAACTTCTAAAGGGACATCTGTCAGCCATAATGATGGGTATTTCACATACACTGTCTCACTGTAACCTCTGAAGAACCTCATGAAGATACTAAAACATTAAGAATTTAAGTTTTGAAGCCAGGTGTGTCTGGCCCAAAGTATGTGTAGTTTATATACCAGTCCCCTACTACACTGTGTTTCTTTGCTATTCATAAGGTTTTCCCTGGCCAATTCTTTCACAAGTGGACGGCCTCTTCCTTCTTCCTAGTCTGTCTCAGTCTACAAACTGGGCTGTTACCTGTGCACCAGGTGCACTCGCTGGGTTTTAAACACCAGAGGCTCAGCCTCAAAACTCATGTCTACATGTCACCACAGTAGGACAAACCGACAGACAAGTTTGTCTTGCTGTTGGAGACCTCTCGTATCACCCCCAACTGGGTCCCTGTGGCTGACTGTACCTCTGTCTGGCTTCCTGGCTTTAACCCCTTTCTCCTGCTCTTCTGCCCTGCTGTTTTGTGCATCCCTGAGTTGTCCCTGGGGCTGAGAGAATGCTCCTTGGAAGCAAGAATGGCCAGACTTCGTCTCACCTATTTTGGTCATGCTGTCAGAAGGGACCATTCCCTGGAGAAGGATGTCATGCTTGGTGGGGTGGAGGGTCGACGAAAGAGAGGGAGGCCTTCAACGAGATGGATTGACACGGTGGCTGCGATGATGGGCTCAAGTATAGCAGGGATTGTGGGGCTGGCACGGGATCGGGCAGTGTTTCGTTCTGCTGTGCATGGGGTCGCTATGAGTCGGAAACGACTCGCCGGCACTTAACAACAACTACACTGTGACTTCACAAGCAGAACAGATTACACATAAAAGCAAAAGGCAATGCCTATTTCCCTGAATGATGCACATGCACAAAACAAGCATAGCTGTGAGGCAGAGACTGTGTCCTAGATCACTAAGCCTGCTCCCAGCAGTGTTTGGCCCATAGGAAAAAGTACAATGACCATATTTTGAAGGAATAAATGAAAAGAGCCTTTTTAAATCCAGTGTAAACTAGTGGAATTGCAACCTGGCAGTAGAGGCTTGGGTTCTCATTCCCACTGCCCGGTTGCAGGTATCCTGATCTCTCCTCCAGGTCCTTTCCCCACTCCATGCTCCCTCCTGACGCCCTGCTTTGTACCAGGTTTAAATTCATACCAGGTTTCTGGAGACAGAAGCTCTCTCCACACTCTCTCCAGTTCCAACGTCCCACAGAAGCATGGTGTTGTCCCGGGAACCAGTGCACAGCTGTGTGGAGTCTTTGGAGACAATGGCAAGAAGACAGCCCATGAGATGGGGCTTGAGTAGAGCTTTGCAGGAAGTACAAGGGTATTGGGCAGAGATTTGCTTTATTTTACCTGGACTCACAGCTAATCCGGTGACCACCATGGCATGGCCTGAGAACTGCTGTCTTGGTTGTGAGGAACCATGTAAGTCCCACAGCATGACCATCCTGTCACGAGAGGCACTGAAGAACTGGTTTGATTGGTGAATACAGGCTACCTGCTCAGGGAAAAAGCCCCAATCAACAGCTCTGGTGTGCTCACTCAATTGGACTTTAAAACAGGAAAAAAAGTGTTGCATAACTGTCCCATACTTAGTTTTTCGAGAGAGTAATACCTAAATTTGAAAAGACAACAAGGCCAGTTTCAATTTCCACCTGTCTCAACACAAGCCTACCCTTTCCTCTTTACATAGCAGAATGTCTCCCTGCCCTTCAAAGTAAGAAGTCCTTGGTTGGTGCAAATTGTTAAGCGCTAGACTAATAACTAAAAGGTGGGTGGTTCAAACCCACCCAGAGACACCTCCAAAGACTGACCTGGCGCTTCTGAAAATCTTATGGAGCAATTTTACTTTGTATGCACAGAGCTGCTGTGACTCAGAACAGACTCACGACAACTCTAAAGTAAGGCTAAAATTTCACCTCCTCTGCGAAGCCTCCTCAGACTCTCCCTCCTCCACAGGAACCTCTCTCCTCTTTGGTCTCCTACAGAACTTCTGTTTGGGTGATCCTCAAAACTGGTACTTCATCACCATCACATCTAAAACTGTACCATGTTATAGCCTCACATGTTTTGTCTTATTAATCATAACTATTTTCCATAATACCTCACTTTACATTGAAATGTTATTCATTTAATGTTCTTTTTAAAGAGATATTGTTCTTCTTTTATATTTAATTTTTAATCACATAAAGATCTATTTATGTCTACTTTAGCAGAAGTAGATGATGGATCCTTTGATCTACTGAGTTGATCATGTTTTTCTCTCTTTGACCAATTAACATAGAGAATTATATTTACCAATCGCCTAATACTGAGCCATTTCTCCATTCCTAGGAGGAGCTCAGTCATGGTATGCTATTCTTTTAGCAAAAAGTTGGATTCTATTTGCTAATACTTCATTTTTAAATTTTTGTATTAATATGTACAGAAGCAGATTGCAAGAAGTGTACCCATCACCCATTTTCCCATTCTCATTCAGTAACAGTGAATATGCCAATGTGCTCAGCTACAAAATGAAATCTTGTAGCTCCCCTGAAGACAGTGGCCAATGAGAAGTAAGCAGAGTGATACTTACGGGAAACTTATAAGGACCTGGAAGGCACAATCTTTTGCTCTTGCTCCTTCTTCCTTCTTGCTGTCTTGAAATCAGATATGATGACTGGAGCTACAGCAGCCATCTTGTAACTACAACGTGTATTAGAGCTTAAATTCTAAAGCACCTGGTTTGTAGAGGGCTGCAGTGTATAGGAGCCCTAACTCCATTTTGAGTCTTGACATAAATTCAGATGCCATTTGAGTTCTTTCTGACCAGTAAATCAGTATTGTGGCTATGCATAGACAAGTCTGGGACAAACCTAGGGAGAGGCAGTTTGCCCTCAGGAAGAGTGTGGTTGAAAGCACATTATACTCGCATAAAGAACCAGGGAACTTGCCTGGGTGGGTCCTTATCTAATTTAAAGGTTGGGGTCCTGGTATTTTCTTATAGCCACCTTGTGGCTATGACTCAGGGGCACATAGTCATTAGTTATACTTTGACCGTCAAGCCCCGGAACCCAGTCCTGTAACCCTCTTCAATCTTCAGTTGTGAAATATGCCAATCATGGTCCTTCCTGCTTTTGTTGTCCCACCTGCGACAGTGATGGGTTGACCTGCCACCAGTCATGATCTTGTGGAGATTGTCTTTTGTACTCTTACCAATGACCCCATTCAGCTTTCTGTACTGTGTAAATGGTGATAGTCTCCCTCATCCAGATGAATGTCTCTGTTTTGTCTTTGTACTGTCAAAGGCTTAATAAAAGGGTCTCAACAGAACCTGTTTGAATCTGGGTCTCTTTTTCCTTAGCACAGAAGTAACTTTGAAGAAGGAAACTGAGCAGTAGTAATGGTAGATGAGAAAGACAGAAGGACCCTGGCTCCTCATAACCATGGAACCACCACACCAACTTTTACTTGTTTAAACCACTGTTATTTGGGCTTTCTGTTATCTGAAGCCGTATCTAATTCAGCCACACCATAATTCAAATGAATCAATTTTTCTTCAGTCTTCCTTATTCATTGTCCAGCTCTCATATGCATATGATGTGATTGCAAACACCATGGTCTGGGTCAGATATGTCTTAGTCCTCAAAATGGCATCTTTGCTTTTTTAATACCTTAAAGAAGTCTTTTTGCACCAGATTTGCCCAATCTGGCAGATATTTATCTTCTGTGCTATGGGATTGTGGCTGATGCCTAGCTTCATTACAGACAGAGTTTGTATATTAACTTTTTGTTCATTTAGGTAGATTTCAAGGGCGCTCTGGTGGCCTAAGGCATTTGACTGCTAACCAAAAGGCTGGTGGTTCAAACCCACCAGCTGCTCCTCAGAAGGAAGATTGGGCAATCTACTTCCATAGAGATACAGCCTTGGAAACCTAAGGAGAGTTAAATAAATTGGCATTCTCTATAATATTTCCCGGAAGCACACCCTACTCTATAATCTAACAAATTTAATTTAATTATTTTAAAAATTAATTTTTATTTAACTTTTGTTGGCTTTTTTCCCCCTACAACTAGACTAGTAGGTCCCTTAGCACAGAGAGTCTATCATTTTTCTAGCTACATTTTTTCTACACACAGTAAACCTTCAATACATGTCCCTTGTTAAGTTAGGATAGGTCAGAGAGAGCTACATGCTACTCAGCTATTCCTCTGTTTACCACCTAAGCTATTAAAGGATTAAAAAGAAAAATGGGCCCAACCTACTTGTATAAATAGCTAAATGAATGGTTTACTTTCTTTTTCCTAGAGTGAGGCTTTACAACAAAGTGAAGCCTTTGCATTTTTCCTTAAGACTGGACATTCACTCGTTGTTAATAGCTAGAGCTATTTGATATTCCTTATTCAGTTCCAAACGCCTTCCTTAATAACAATAGACAATTACCTTGGTGATTTCACGTTCATGTCCTTTGAACCTTTTCACCACACTTCCAGTTTTCCAATTATAGGCCACAACTGTCTGCAGAGAGTCATTAGAATACTTTAGTTTAACCACTCAAAGAAAACAAGCCTTTACTTCACTGCCCATCTTAATTATTCCCTTGTAACTAAGGTCAAGGGATTGGCTTCAAGCATTAAGAGTTTTACTGTTCTGTCCCTCCTCATATTCTCTTACTCTGGGCTTCTTTTCTTTCCTCCCAATGGCTTCTCTGTCTCTCCCTAAGACTCTGGGTCATTCCTCTAAGCCTTACTGATGGGTTTAGGAAAACACTCTCCAAAAGGAATTGATTCAGGTGGAGGTTCTGGTTATAGACAGTAAGGGAGAATGCTATATGGGATTAGATGTTTTTTTTCTTCTAATTGTATTATGCTTCTTTTTTAAATTTAAAAAAAAAAAAAAAACAACAAAAAACCTCATCCACAATCCCAACAGTCAGAGAGAATAACTGTTAAAAATTTCAATTTCCCACCTTTTGTCTGGGTATATACTTTTGTTTAAAGTTCAGATATCCAAGAGTGGGAGAACAATGTGAAACAAAACTCAAAATCATAAAAAGAAAAAAAACAGACTAGGTTTGTTGGTCCGATAGAGGCTGGTGAAACCCCAGAGACTATGGCCTTAGTTGCCCTTTGGGTTTGGAATTAAACTCACTCCAGTGGCTTCCAGCTAAACAAGAGACAGTCATAGGATGAACATTTATATCAAGTAGATACACTCTTTGGAGTGATCAGTCATGGGAGAACAGAAGGGCAATGTTTGCACAGGGAGACAGCTCGGGGCAGTGAGAGTGCATGGGAGGGAAGGACATAGGGAAGACGTAACTATGGGGAGGAAGTGGGAGGAGAGTTATTACACTGTGGAGAATTGCAGTCAATGTTATGAGACAAAATATGTATGAACTGCTGTATGGAAAATGAATTTTCTCTGTAAATTTACACCCAAATCACAATAAAAATTTTAAAAAATGGTAATAAAATCCAGATATCCAATTTTTTTTCCACTTAGTGTTTTAACATAAGCATTACTTACCCTAAATGGGATTTTAAAAGCAATATTCTGAACTAACATTGCCATCAAGTTGATTCTGAGTCACAGTGACCCTAAGGGACAGAGCAGAACTGCCTCATAGGGTTTTGAAGTCACTAAGATTCAATGGCAATGGGTTTAATCATTACAAGAGCAAAATACAGTATTTTGGCTGATGGGTTAAAACTGCCAACCTTTAGTGGTTGAGTGCTTATCATTATGAAAGCAAAATACCACATTTTGGCTGATGGGTTCAAACTGCCAACCTTTTACTGGTTGAGTGCTTAACCACTTTGCCACCAGGGCCCTTTACTCTGGCCTAGCCTCTATAATTCTCCTCGTTAGAGAGTAAGGAACACTGCTAGCACTTAACCTAGCTGAAACTCCAGTTTCCTAACCTGCAATATGGAAAGGATAATCTTTGCCCTATCCATTCCTCACAGGTGTGAGTCAGGATCACACAAACAAAATTTCACATATCTAAGATGATATAAAAAGCTCTGGTGGTGCTGTGGTTAAGGCATTGGTCTGCTAACCAAAAGGTTGGCAGTCTGAGCCCATCAGCTGCTCCACAGGAAAAAGATAAGACAGTCTGCTTCCATAAAGATTTACAACCTTGGAAACACTACGGAGGTTGCTATGAGTCGGAACTGATCCGATAGTAGTGGGTTTGGGGAAGATGATACAAATTTTAAGATAAAAATGTTGCAAATTATACCATGATACCAGCTTTGAAGACAAGTGTTGCAAATGAAACTATGACACCATGCTTTATCATCAATTTTGAGATGCATACTGATTTCAGAGGAGTTAAAATGTGAAAAGCTGTGCATCTTAGAATCAATGAAATACAGTGTACAAATGGAATCTGAAGATTCTGAAAGGCTATTGAAAATGAGAGGAATTACTAGTATTATTCATTACAAGAAAAATCAGCATTTCTGCTACCAATATCCTAGCTGTAAGCACCATAAGAGATCCAAACATGAAGAAGAAAAAGTAACCAGATTCAAAGTGACAATGGAGGGGAGGACAAAACAGGAAGGAATCACAGTGCGCCCTAGTATAGAGATTTCAGCAAAAGGACGGCGTAAAGAAGAGACAGGGAAGCACCTCTCACCAACAAATGTCTTGTGTGTCTGCGGGTTGTTGTTGTTGTTGTTATGTGCCGTCGAGTCGGCCCCGACTCATAGCGACCCCTCCTTGGGTTTCCGAGGCAGTATCACTACGGAAGTAGGATTGCCCAACCTTCCTTCCGAGGAGTGGCTGGTGGGTTTGAACCGCCAACCGTCTGGTTAGCAGGCAAGTGTCTTAGCCACTATGCTGTCTGCGGGTAGGTGTAAAAATAGGTTGGCCAGAAAACTACTACTCACCATTTATAAAGAGCATGTGGGTGGTCTACCATAGTGCAAAGGATGTTACCTATGTTCTTTCACTTACAACAGTCCCATAAGGTTGAGATTATCATCCCTGTGTAACAGATAAGGGAGCTCTGGTGGCATACTGCCTAAGGCATTTGACTGCTAACCTGCTAATCGGAAGGTTGGTGGTTCAAACCCACCAGCCACTCCTTGGAAGTAAAGTTGGGCAATCTACTTCTGTAGTGATACGCCTCGGAAATCCAAAGAGGGGTCATGAATTGGATACGACTCCACGGCAGTAAGTTTGGTTTGGTTATGTCAGATAAGGAGACTGAAGCACAAACAAAATTAAAAGCCTTCCCCAAAGTAGCAAAGTGGCAGATCAAGGATTGAAAGCCAGTCTACAAGACTTAAAGTCTCTATTTTTACACTGGTCAACACTGCTGCCAGAAATGCATAACCTGGACTTCCTTACAAAATAGCTCCCCCTTCCTATGATAGGCTGGTTCCCACTGCAAGCCGCACCTTATCTTTCCCTCCGGAGACACAAAGGTCTGAGTTCAGGGCAGCGACAGCAGAGACGGTTTCCACGTGGGCCGGGCTATACTCTTGAGAGGTTTTAGTTTGAAGCCTCTCTTCTATAATGCCATCAGGCCTGCCAAAGAGAAGAGGAAAATGAGGGGCCTGGTCACATGGGTGAGTGGAGAGTGGAGCAAAAGGAAGAAGCATGGGCTAAGGCAGTAAGTTCCACTGGAAAAGGAGGAGCGAAAGAAGGCGTGCTGACATTGCCAGCAATGCTATTCTTACTCTGACACTACCAGAGGACTGAATGTTTGTGCTCTAATAAAGGGGAATCCTGATGGAAGAAGTCAGTAGTTTTTACTCACACTAGAGATCATTCCCAAAGATCCCAAAGATGTAGGGCCCCTCCCTGTACAGTGCAGACACTAGCTGATAAGAACTGTTTTTGATCCACAGATAATAGATCAATCCGACTGTTCAGGAAAAGCCATTTACACTCACTGTGGGCCTTCTCTTTAAGTGGAGAGTTAGTGGGGACGAAAAGGCTTGGGGTCCCAGGGTGGGACTGCTGTACCTGTATTTGTAAGTGCTGTGTTTGAGTTTGCTTTGCAGTTTCCCCATCACAGCCCAGGACCTACACAAAACCTGCCGGAGAGAAGCTTGTTTCAGTTGGCACCTGAGTGGCAGCATCCCTTGTGGCTGTTAGAAGTTGTGGTCCCTGTTTAGTAAAAAGAAGAATGTATATTGTTCATTTTGTTAGGTACAATACTGGTATAATGCTTATGTTAAAAATAAATTCTTTTAAGTAGAAACAACCTAAATAGCCAACAGATGACTGGATACATACAACTGAATATTACTCAGACATAAAAAGGAATGAAATCCTGATACATGCTTCAATATGGAAGAACACTGAAAACCTTACGCTCAGTGAAGTGAGTCAATCACAGAAGGATAAATACCATATGCTTTCACTTATATGGGAGCTCTGGTGGCATAGTGCCTAAGGCATTTGACTGCTAACCAGAAGGCTGGCAGTTCAAACCCAGCCACTTCTCGGAAAGAAGGTTGGGCAATCTACTTCTCTAGTAATACTACCTTGGTAACCCAAGGAGGGGTCGCTAGGAATCGAGTCCAACTCGATGGCACATAACAACATGGGCGGGAGGGACTCATTGTTAGGAAGCATTGGGTTTCTGTTTATAGTGACAGAAAATGTGACAATAGATATTGTTGATGGTTGTACAACATGACTGATGTCACTAAATTGTATGAGTGAAAAATGCTACATCAGCAAATGTGTTATATATATTTTTACAATTAAAAAGCTGAAAATAATCCTTTCAGTAATTAATGTAAATGAATTATACACATAAAACTGGTTGACATGGCAATATTTTGTTATGTATATTTTATCACAATAAAATAAGAATCTTTTTTTTTCTTCTGTATTTTCAAATAAATCCTTTTTAAAAAGACAAATCAATTATATGGATTTGGTTTCTTGCCTTTCCCTGCCTTACTCTTGTGTGTGTGTGTGTGTGTGTGTGTGTGTGATTTGGGTGAAAGTTTACAGAGCAAATTCATTTCCATACAGCAGTTCATATACATTTTGTCTCATGACATTGACTGCAATTCCCCACAATGTAACAGTTCTCTTCCCAGTTCCTCCCCATAGTTACCTCTTCCCTATGTCCTTCCCTCCCATGCACTCCTGCACCCCGAGCTGTCTCCCTGTGCATACACTGTCCTTCTGTTCTCCCATGATTGATCTCTCCAAGGAGTGTATCTACCTGATGTAAATGTTCAGCCCATATGCCTGTCTATTATTTGGCTGGAAGCCATAGGCTGAGTTCAACTCCGGACTTGAAGGGCAGCTAGAGGCCATAGTCTCAGAGGTTTCATCAGACTCTGTAAGACCAGCAAACCTGGCCTTTTTTTTTCTTATGATTTTGAGTTTTGTTCCACATTGTTTTCCCACTCTATCCAGTATCTCCTACACAGATCCCCCTCTGAGTGTCTGATAGTGGTAGCTGGGTACCGTCCAGTTCTTCTGGATTGCACAGTCTACCAGTCCCTTGGACTAATTGTTTCCATGCGTCTTTGTTTTTCTTCATTCTTCTTTGCTCTGGGTGAGGAGAGACTCATCGTTGCGTCCAGATGGCTGCTTGCAAGCTTTTAAGATCCCAGTCACTACTCATCAAAGTAGGATGTGGAACAATGTTTTGTGTAGTATGTTATGACAATGAACTTGATGTCCCCTGCAACCATGGTCCCAAGCCCACAGGTCCAACTACTCACTTCCTCCCAGCAGCTGGCTGTGGTCCCTCCCTTATTCTTCTAGCCCTAGAATCACACCCTTCAATAAAGCATTAGCAGATTAAGAATGAAAACAAAAAGAAAACTAATTTTAAAAATAGAGCACTGTGATTGGAAATAATAAATAATTTGCCCTAGTGAAGTTTCTTGAAAAAGAAGAGCACCGATTATCTTTGTTACAACCTTCCTGGCTTGACGGATTGTTTTTAAATAGTGAACCAGGATCATGAAACTATTCTGTAATGAGAATGAGATGCTAAATGAGACAATATAAGTAAGGACTTATATTACACTCAAAGTGTGATCTGAAAACTTCATATACTCAATGATCTGAAAGGATCCTGAGATCTTTTCAGGGGGTCTATGAGGTCCACCCTTTTCCAACTACGTATCTGTGTGAAGTTGGATTTTACCTTATACTTCAACCCAAACAACTGCAATTGATTGGATACAAAAGCAGATATGAGAAACAATCAACTATACAAGATCAAAAGGGCAGCAGTTGCTTAGGGATAAAGCTCAAAAGGCAGAAAGGGACAGGAAAGAAGGGCAAACGGAATGCTAACCTCAGGGAAGGGACTGTCACGAAACAAAACGTTCAACAGTTGAATGGAAAACCAATTTGCTATGTAAACTTTCACTCAAATCACAATAAAAAAAAGTCACACAAACAAACCTTATGGATCACATAAAGATTCGAAACATCTTGATCAAAAGGAGGGAGATGCAGAAGAGAATTTCAAATTTTCACGGACTCTAGAGATTGAGGGAACTAAATGATTAGAGTACCCAGTCCCCATCTCAGTTCTCAGAAGAACTGTCCAGAGAGAACTTCAGCTAGGACGTACCAAGTAAGTCATTCTCATTCAAAGCATTACTATTTAAAAATAGAGTTTTTCCAGAAGAGCTTCAGCCTACGTTTTGAGATTTGTCTCAATTTGCCAGAATTGTCCTCCTGACAAGAATAAGAGATCAGTACAGAAGTACAATGCAGTAGAAAAAACACGTGTGGTGTGTGGAGTCCTGGGCTCTAGTTCCAGTCTGCCTCCTCTCAGGGTGTCTCCTCGAGTGCCTGTTTCCCACTGATGAAATTAGGATACTAGACTAGATGATTTTTACATGCTCGGTAAGAGTAAGGACTCTTTCATACTCACTTGTGTACCTCAAGTAGCTCGCACAGTCCACCAAAAATATCTGTTGTAGTGAATCCAAGGTCTCTTCTAGGACATTCTAGGATTCTGTATAAAAGGCCACAATATCTGCTGACAGCAACAATTCTAGGACCGTTTTCAAAAAGCTTGAGATGTTGTGTTGTTTATAGATAGAGAATGCAGGGCTTCCTATCTGCCAGGCTAACCCATTTTTCAAAATTGTCATCAAACTAAGGATAGATGCCATCCATCCACAAATCTAGGTCACTGGAATCTGCAGATGCTATAAATGGATTAACTCCGCTTAAAACTGATTGGATTCTTAGCTGGTATCTTCAGAGAATCACACTTTCCATCTGAAAAGCATTCATGGAACATTATAAAGAAGAGAGAACTTTTAGAAATACTTACCCCAAAGCTAATAGGATCTTCGTAGTGAGCTGCCTTGTTCAAAGATTTATAATGTTTATCCTTTGGAAAATAGTTCAGGCAGCTACTTCCTAATTTCTGTAATTAATGACAAGATACTCAAGTTAATCTCTTCTCTGTCTAAACATAGGTTTGCACAGAAATCGGATTTGTAAGGTAAATAAGAACCTTGTTTAAGGAGATTAAGAGTGATTTTTTCCCTCACAAAGAGGTATCTTACAAAATTCTTACATTATATAACTAACAATTTTCTAACAATATTTCTATTAGGGAAGGTATATCATAATGTTAGTTATGCAACTACTTTTAAATATGCAAATAGGATATATTTAAATACATCATCACACATTTTGGTTTGAATCATAACATAGAACTTCTGTTCATCGAAAATCCTCTAGAGCTGACTGTTCATAGTTTTATGAGAAAAGTATGATTTGTAGAATTTGAGATGGTGGAGCTTTGCAAAATCATCATCTATAAACCTTTTATTTAAAGATCTGGAGAATGAAGGCAGAAACATTATTTACTCAAAATTATAATTAAGTAGATTTCTTGACTATAATTTTCATTATAAACACCTACAAAGAAGAAATACATCTTTATTGCATTTTAACAACTTTATTTCAGGGATTTAAGTAAACCGGTTCAGTCAGTGTAGCTTATTCTAAGAATTAATAGCATCCTAGAATAGTCAGCATAACATTTGGTTAAGTGCATAAGTTTTGGAATTAGACATGATTAGGTCTGTGGTTTAAGCACTGGGCTGCTAACCAAACGGTTGGTGGTTCAAACCCAGGAGGTGCTCTGAAGGAGAAGGATGAAGGAGATAGCATCTGTAAAGATTTAAAGCCTTGGAAATCCTAGGGGGCAGTTCTACTCTGTCCTAGAAGGATGCTATGGGTCAAAATCAACTTTTTGGCAGTGTGGTGGCGGGTAGCATGATTGCTAGATTAATAATGATAGAAATAATGAAAATAGCAATTTCACTGCTATTAATACTATTCATAATATGTACAAAACATACATGCCAAAAAGGCACGGAAAAGATATATTGTTGTTGTTATGTGTCATGGAGTCGGACCAGACTCATAACGACTCCTCCTTGGTTTTCCAAGGCGGTATCTCTATGGAAATAGATTGCCCAACCTTCCTTCTGAGGAGTGACTGGTGGGTTTGAACCGCCAGGCTTCTGGTTAGCAGTCAGGTGCCTTAGGCACTACGTCACCAGAGCAGATGGATATATGAGTCTTGAGTACATGCAACTGACGCCAATTTTGTCCTCTGGCCAGAGTGATTGATCACACTACGGCTAAGAATTCTATGTAACTAGGTTATTCAGAAAGGCACTTAAGAGCTTGAGAACATGTATGTACTTGGATAATGTTCATGTTATAATTTATTATGTGTAGCCTAATCTACGAAATGAAAACCTTATTCTGTTATCTTCCATTGTTTATATTGTCTAATGATACAGATAGGGGAAACTGAGGCCCAGAAAACAAGAGGGCCTTACCCAGAGTCACACAGGGAGTCAGTACTACGCCAAAACGTCAAAGACTGGCAGGGGAGTACATGTTCAGAACCCAAATGGCCCTCTCCTTGCCCATCATGGGGACGAGCAAGGCTTATTTTTGATGTGGGAGGTGGAAACGGGGTTTTTCCCCAAGATGGGGACCAACCAAAGTCCGCGGCTCAGAACATCCACCAACCCACCCCCGCATCGGGGCCAGGTGGGCGACTGCAGCCAGGAAAACACCAGGACCCTTACCTCCCTGCCCTCCCGCTGCGCCC